TCCCTACACATCTCTGCCTCTACCTAAAAAAATCTAACTTCCAAATCCAGGTAAGTCTGTCCCCCTTCACAGAGCCTGCCCTCATACCCTGGGTACCAAGAAGCATCCCCAACTCTGAGCAGCATTACTTTCTACCACTCAGTCATCATTTATACAGACCATCAGTGTTACTTCACTTTTTATTTGCTGTCTTAGGGGCCCAAAGAGACCCCAACACCCTGGAAAGCAGGGCGTGTGTGTGAGGTAGCCATTCAGCCTTGCACTCGAGTAGTAGGCACTCAAGTATGTAGTGGTTGATTTCATAACGGCCAACTATCATTTCTCACAATGCAAATAACATATATGTTAAATTATTAGCTTCAGGAATTATAGTTTTCTGGTATAGTCTTCTTGTAAAAATAAGAGCAAACTAAACCTCAGTATTTCTTTATGGACTTCCTAATACATACAGCTGGTGCTTAGCTTCCACAGTATGAAAAGCTTCCATAGACTAACCCCTTCTATCAATGCCTCCAACATTTACAAACTAGCTTGTTAGACTGAAAAACATGAAATTCATATTTTGGCGACAGCCACCTTAGTCATCTCCAGACCCAAAGAAAACAAAGGTCTGAGGCCAATGTTCTTCACAAGCAAGGCACAGCCCTGTATATTCTGGAGGTGGGAGAATACCTCCCTTCTTGTGGGAGGCCGCACACACACAACAGTACCTTCGCTGACACTGTGCCCACCCCTGCCTTGAAATGGGGCCTGAATGCTAAACTGCAGCCACAGAACCAAAACTTAATCAGGCTCATTCCAATGATTCCTTTTCATTTACAGCCAATAACTGCTTTGTTCTTCCCTGCCCTTTAACCAGGTCAAATGCTACAGCAGGCCAGAGTTTCTATTATTATTGTGATAGCCCAAACTGTCAGAAGCTCTTGGTCATGTTTCCTGACTGAGCTTCTCAAAAGCTGACTGAGGATATAGAACAGTTTCTGGAAACAAGACAAGTACTTTTGGTGTTTACAGTGACAATGACACATCCTACCCCCAAGCCCTCACAGATCAGATCAGAGACTGTAGGTCAGCAGTTTGGAAGATGCAACTCTTTTTGCAGGTTCAGAAGAAAATGGCACCCCAGGAGAGGAGTAACCTCAGGTGATAAGAATGTGTGTGTTAGGTGCTTTGGTGCCTCTTACAGGGCCTGCCAACTATCAGACATTTGTTTCTAAATTGAGCAGCCAAAGTAAATGATGCTAGAAATCTTCCACGGCCAACCAATCCCTGATAGTGGCTGCCAGAGGTTAGGGAAGAGGAGGGGTAAAGGGGAGGTGGGTGTGGTTAAAAAAGGCAACAGAGGGATCCTACTGGCGATGGAATGTTCTGTATCTTGACTGTGGTGGTAGATACACAAATCTACATGTGACAAAACTACACAGAACTAAATACATACAAGTACTAGCAAAACTGGGGAACCTGGTGGACTATATTAACATCAATATAGTCCTGGTTGTGATCATGCACTACAATTTCATAAGATGTTACCATGGGGGGAACCTGAGTAAAGGGTATGTGGCTCTCTGCATTATTTCTTATAACTGCATGCAAAATCTATACTTATTTTGAAATAAAAATTTTTAATTTAAAAAAGGCAAATTCCAAAATGTAGCCCCCTCTCTTCTGTAGAATATGAGAGAGTGCTAACTTATGACCATGATAGGTACAAATAAAAGATGTAAAGTTAAAACAAATTAGTCCTTGAATTTGAACTTCTTAAAAAGGCTGTCACCCAAGTGAAACCAACAGTGGCCTCAACCAGCACACATGTGACCTCAAACCCACCCATGCATATCCCCAAAAGACCCTCCAACTTTTTTACCCACAGAGACTTTAACTACATTCCAATTTATCACATGGTGGTATCTTGACCTTGGGAAAACTCACTCATGTTCTGAACTAAGTGGCAATTATTATACCAAAGCTCATTTTAATTCAAAGTCAAAACACTTAGTGCTGTGTTCACAATGAACTCTGCCATTCTGCATTTTCACCCATTGACCTCATTACATTAAAAGCATAAATCACTGGAAAATATGAATATAAGTGCTAATGCCCACTTTTACAAAAAGGTTTATTCATCATTCTTTTCATTAGACCTTGCAAGGAATTTGTAAGGCCGGGGAGAGTAAAATTCCCAAGCATTGTGTTTTAATGTGGGAACCACCATCGCTTCCCTTGTTTACAAAACTGCAACACCTAAAACCAACCAGGGCTGTTAGCCTTGCATTTAAATAGCTGTGTTAGTTCTCACCAGATTGCTTAAAGGGGAAAACTGAACTCTTCAGTTCCTTCAAAATTGTGCAAAGAAAAGCAAGAATGTTCTCCTTACTCACCGATGTCATTGCTGCGGTCCGAGAGATCCTTGTCCAGGATACCGGATAGCGAACTGCCAACCAAATCAATCTTTGCACCGTCACCCCTACATTCAAAACACAAGTCCAGGCATTTAATAATTGGTGTGTGTCCTTGTCATTTTGTCAGCTTTCTTGTTGCACGCGAGTTAAGGAGTGCGCTGTGTGGGGGGCAGGTGGCACTGTCGCCTGTGAGGAACTCCGTAGGAGCCAACGAGTTCTCCAGCCACACGGGCCTTGGTGCAAAGCGACGGACAGACTGGAGGCCCCCCTCTCCGGCACACATTTTCAAAGATGGCTATTTTAATAATGACTGTTCAGCAATGCACCTTTAGCCACAAACGCTCCTGCTGGTACACAGGGTACAACACAGGCCCTGCCCCTGTCTCCTGGCCAAATAAGAACCAGCAAACAGTAACTGGGAGCTTCCCTTTTAAGGACTAAGGAATGTAGCCAATGCTGCTTGTCAAAGGTCAACTAGTTTTAACCTTGAGGAAAAGGTTTGCTGGCCTGGGGCTGAGACATCAGCCAGGCTGTTGACAGGCGCAAGGTGTCAAGTTGAGATCTGGCAGCCTGCAAGCTGGCACCAGGGACAGGCTGCAAAATTAGACAGCTCTTGGGTGGGTGCCCCCATGCCCATCAGGACACGGGCGACTTCCCTCTGTATTTGGGCAAGGAGGAGCCCTTGGGGATAGGAATAGGCCTCCAAGATGATGAGAGAAACAACCCATTCATGCACGAGCAGAAGGTTCTTCCAAATTCCTCAAAAAGGGCAGCTCCCAAATGAGATTATCCAAGGTCTGTGATGGCAGCGAAATCAGAAAAAAAATGTTGCCTATAAAATGAGAGGGAGAAGCCAAGCAGTTGTTCCCAGGAAAGCAACAGAAATAGTCCATCTTATGGCTTCCAGCAGTCACATTGGCCTGAGGCCAAACCACACAATGAGGAACAGATGGGGGTATTGAGAGAGCCAAACCAGGTGGTACCTACTCTGGAGGGGCTTATGGTCTCGATGGTAGAAAGAGACAGACAACCACAAGCCTAAATGGTATAGGCTGGCTGTGTAATATACAGGCACATCAAAACCCTTTGGGGAGGATGGGTTCAGTGCAGGGGATATGCATGGCAGTCCCAGGGCACATGGAGGAGGTGGCATTACAGTTGGGCCTTGGAGGAAAAAGGAGTGAGGATATCAGTAAGACACATGATTGAGCAAGGATCCAGGGTGGTCAGAGGTTCCAAGGCCTGAGGTCTCCAGAGAGTAGTAAAAGGAGAAAGGTTGGCAAAGGTCAGACTGCTGAGCTGAGTACCACAAGGTTCAGTTTGTCCTGGAGGTAATGGGAGGCAGAAGGAAACTGAAGTAGATCTATAAACCTGGAGGTAAGGGAGGGAGTTGCCAGGGACGACTCCTGGGTTTCTCACTCAAGAGGAGTGGTGGTGGTAGCACACAGTGTGACATGCATATCCTGTGATGGTAGAGAATACCTAGTGAAAGGAAGTAAGCCCCCATCAGTTCCCAAACAAACAAGACTGACTCAACCTCAAGCATAACCTCAAGCACCCTCAACTGAAGACAAGCAGAGATAAGAACTCTGGGGAACCAGGGCTGAGCCAAACGGCTTGGTCTTCACCAAGAGAAAATTACAACTCTTAGACTGACTCTGTGTGTGCATTATGAGACTTGTTGGGCTTTTCTGAGCGCAGTTGAAAATTCTGAGCTTGGTTGAATCAGAGTTCAAGGAGAATGTGGACTACTGTACTAGGAAAGGGGAAGCAGCTTGAACTTCACAGCAGAGCCTTTGTTTCCCACCTCATCCCAACACCTAAAGTGGTGGGGACCCTCTTAGGCCAGGTTACTGTAGCAGATTGCCCCTCCTTCCTTTGGTACCAAAGCTCAGGCCCCACAGGGCACAATCCCTTGGACAGATCCCAAGCCAACAGGAACGATGGGATTGAGGACCTTTATTTCAAAACATTTCATTGAGAGAGCCCATTAATTTGAATGTAACTTTCTGAATGAAATGTTTTACAAATGAAGCAGGAAAGCATTTTTAATTATTTTATTTTTTGCTTTGTTAATCCTCACCTGAGGATATTTCCCCATCGATTTTTAGAGAGTGGAAGGGAGAGGGAGAGACAGAGAGAAACATCGATGTGAGAGAGAGCCATCAATTGGTTGCCTCCGGCATATACCCTGACCAGAGTCGGGGATCGATCCTGCAAGGCAGGTACATGCCCTGGAATGGAACCTGGTACCCTTCAGTCCGTGGGCTGACACTCTATCTACTGAGCCAAACCTCCTAGGGTAAGCATTTTTATTTTTAAAAGTCTTCAAGGAACTTAATATTATTTTGTATTTATGGAGCCTGAATGATTTGGTGCTGTCTTCCTCCACACTAACAGACTGAACTCAAGTTACACTCACAGCCAGACAGTTCTGTACTTTTGGGAACACACCAAGGACCTAAAATGTAAAGAACACGTGTTCTATCCACAGAAACAGGTCATTCAGGGAACAAAAGTCCAGTTAATTCCATTGGGCTACTTTTTTTTTCTTGACCAAAGGGGAGGATGGTCTAAGGTGACACCCTGGTGGGCAGCTGGGGGAAACATCAGAGCAGGTGTTGGTGGAGAGAAGGAGCTTTGCACAGCAGTTAAGCAGCTGCATTGCAGAACAAGTTGGCTGCTTTGGAACATGTGGTTTATTTGTGCATTTTGGTCACTGTGACTCTTGGAGCTGCAATTTCCCTCGTTGATTTGACAGCTAGAAGCTTCCAGTCAAATGAAAGCCTATCTTGAGGAACTGTGGAGAACCCTATTGCACATTACAGGCATACCTCGTTTTATGCTGCTTTGCTTTATTGTGCTTCACAGATATTTGTGTTTTGTTTTTTACAAATCAAAGGTTTATGGCAACCCTGCAACAGGCCATTTAGTGCCATTTTCCCAATAGGCTTAGCTTTTTTTTTTTTTTAACAAGTATTTTCAAATTAAGTTATGTGCACTGTTTTTTTTTTTTCAGTCAAAATGCTATTATTGCACATTTACTAGACTACAGTATAGTGTAAACATAATTTTTATACATGCTGGGAAACCAAAAATTTGTGTGACTTGCTTTATTGTAATATCTGCTTTATTGTGGTGATCTGGAACCAAACCTGCAATATCTCTGAGGTCTGCCTGCCTATCTGCACTGTGCGCATCTTATCTTGGACTGTATTACTTTTCTACCCTTACTTCCCCTTTACTGTTGCTCTCAACTAATTTTTGAAAGTTATCTCAAAGCCTTTGGCAAATAGTGCAGGGTAAAAAGAAGTAATTTTAAAGAAGAGGATGTATATCCTCTGATGTTCATCTGCTTTAATCTGGGAGTAAATGCTAAAGAAATAGTCCAAAACACCCAAATGGGTTTTGCAGGTTAATATGTCTATCACAGTGCTATTCATAATAATGAAAAACTGAAAAAAACTGAAAACTTTCATAAATAGGAGAATAACCTATGGCATTTGGCAGACTTTTATATAGTCATTGAAATAATGTTTATAAACAGTTTATGACAACAGGATGTTATGATGTTATAATGTCAAGGAACAAAGGCAAGTTTAAAACACCTCAATGCACATACACCCATGTGCACTTCTGATATATTAGGAAGAGGGATATTTTTAAGAGACTGGAAGAATATTTAGTAGTTATTCCAGGGTAGTCTGATGGGTGATTTCTAACATTAAGTTCAGCAGTTGGTACATGGCAGGCTAAAAAACACTTGTGGATTTAATGAACATTTACCTTTTTTTCTAAAATGGGAATGCATTATTTATTTGTACAATAAATGCGTTTTTTCCAAAAGACAAAATTATATGACATTCACTATGATCATAGCTATGCAAAACCAATAAAACAAACCAAGTCATACACAGGAAAAAGATGGGATAGAAAAAGTCCAAAATGTTAATAGTAGTTGTCTCTGGGATAAGACTATAGGTGAATTTTTCCTTCCTCTTAAAGTTCACTTTTAATATTAGAAACTGTACAATTCTTGCAGCTTCTTCTCTTTCTCCTTTTCTCCCCAACCATGTCATCAAGGTAAAAGGTGAGATTGCCCACCCCTGCTACAAGCTCTTCTTTAAGAGTCTCCCCCACCACAGATGCCCATGTGATCACCTGGGACTACAACTGGAACTCACCTGGGGTGAGTTAAAATTCCTAGACTGAGAGGCCCAGGTCATGAAGACCCACCCTGAAGAAATAGGCAGTGCCATCTCTGAGTGACCCCTCCCCAGATTCTAAAGTACCAGCCACATTCTGATAGGAAGGAGATTGGGATCCCCTATCTCTCTACTGAGCCCTGATCCTTCATACCAAGAGCCAGACCCAGGCTTTCAGCTAAAATTATCTTCTATACAGGGCCAGAAGCAAGACTATTTTGAAAACACAGTAGGTGTAGTTTTAAAAAAAGTCTGATCCTTCCAAGTAGGGAAGCTGCAGCTGGTGTTTTGACAGTGTTCAGACTGTGGGTGTGGAAGCGTTTTACAAAGTCTATTTGTAAATGCCTTCACTGTATTTATAGACTCTTACAACAATGCTAATGAGTTTTAGTTCTGAAAAATACCAGAATTTCTGAAATTCTCCAAAGCATGTGTTTGGAGCGGCTGATGCCCAATGAGGTTTCAGTCCTCAATGGTCCTTGCTCTCCTCCAGTCTGCCTAACACACAGATACCATTTTGCCAAGAAGGATGTTACTAAATTGAATAAAAGAGAAAAAAGCCCATCCTTTTGTAATTTACTAGCTCTTATGAGGGTTTTTGTGTGGTGAGTTTCTCCATCCACAGCTGTTAAATAAAAGGAGAAAATATAAGAAAGCAGGCATATCACCATACACCAAAGATAACACTGTTATTTTCTTGTATTTTTCATCTCCTATTGGGGATGTGGCCGCAACCCAGGTACATGCCCTTGACCGGAATCGAACCTGGGACCCTTCAGTCCGCAGGCCGGCGCTCTATCCACTGAGCCAAACCGGTTTCGGCTCTCAGCAGTTTTAGTTATGGACACTTAAAACACATG